TATACATATTATATCGAATAAGTACCTATCAGATTGTTATTTGTTTCGAATCGAAGTAAAGTGAATATATAGTAGTAGGTACCTATGGGAGTAAGTATATTAAATACTTTATCGTGAAGTTCTAAAAAGAATGTGAGAAAGTTCACGAGTCCAGAGGCCAAAGAGACAGTAGGCAAAACTAAAACAAGGCTACCTTACAAATAACTTTATATTACTATTCAATAAAAAATAATGACGGTGACGACCTCTTGCGCCTGGCTTTCGCCCTACTTGAGCATCGGCCCTAGTACCTATTGCTAGAGGGCCCTATGGGTCCCATCTGTCACCACAGATGGGACCCATAGGCCACCGCCTGATGGCTTTTTGTGGCGCGCGCGGAACGCACAGATGAACTTTACGATGTTCTAGATACCGTAATATAGTAAAAAGACCTATTAACAACATCCGACAGTTTAATATAGCTTTATCTGCTAGCTGCAGCAAGAAAGTGTATCACAGACAGTAGAGGAACCACGAACTCAAACCACCTTTAATTTTATTGCTACGAATGTGAATTTATTATTACTAATTGCTATTCTCCGTCTAGACCAATTTATCTGAATTAAGTAATTGGTTTTATATTATAAAGGAGAAATAATGAGGTTTCGTAAGAATTTAGAAAGGAAATGATGACTGCCGGGTATTACATACATCGAGTGTTTTCAAATGTGTATATGAACTTATATATTTGTAAACGCGTCGACGACACAGGAGAAATCCTAGTTTGGGGCAATGTTCAAAAATGTGACAGACGAGCATGACGTCACAGGTTCGAAACTCAAGCTAGTCATAGTTGAGATTAAATTCTCGGGAACCACTTTACTTTACTGGGTTTTTGAAACATTATTTTGCAACATAGTTATTATAGAAATTTTCAGTGCAGAACGAGGTATACGAGTGGTCGTAATGTAAAAATTGGAAATAGAAATTTGTTTAATTCTAAATACCATAAATTAAAATAAGCCATAAAGCAGCGGAAGGTACTTATATAAATATCAGCAACGAATTGAAACATAATCTCCTGCTTTACTCCTTTGAAAATTAACAATAGGGAATTAACAAGTCATTTAAATTTTATAGCGTTGCTTATTTAAACGTACATAGGTAGGTACCTAACCGAACTAACATAAACATTGAAACAGTAGGTACTCGGTAAGCTACTTATATAAACAACTGCACCAATTTGTTCCACGTGGAATAAATAAATCTTCTAGTTATTTGATAAACTTTATTTGTGTGTGTGAAATGTTGCGATAGCATAGTAGAATACATTTTGTCATCCATCATCCCGATGTATTTATGGCTGACTAAGGGACGACAGGACGAACTTTTGCAGCTTGCAGCAGTTGTCTTTGATAAACCTGAAAACTTTAATCTGTGATCCCCAACTATACCTAAATGGAGATTATAGCAAACCCTCTTATTTAGTGGTGATTCAGGTGAAGTCAGATGACCCATCGCCTAGAAGGGAAATGATAATATCATTGTCAACATTTAAATTATCTTGTAAAAATCTTGCTTATTGTCTTAGTACTAGGTACATACAAAGGAATATTCATCGAGTAGACGATACATAGGGAACTAGGGTTGCCCACCGTACTCTAAAATAAAGTATTGTCCTCTATATCATGTAGGCGTACCCTATTATGTATAGGGATGTACGTACGATAGAGTACGATAAAATACTATTTTTTACACAATGTTTACTTAACTAGTGTCGTTCTGTATTACTGTATGTTATGTAATACAGGTTTACTATGGTCCAAAGATTTTTTCAACTTGAAAGTATCATAAGTGATAAATTTACAAAATACTTCAGTTCAGAGAAATTGGATAGTAATCCGATATATTAATTTTTGACAGAATACCACTCTTTTATGAAAAGTACTGGACCGACTCGTATGAAATTTTTTATAGGTCTCGTGCAATAACGTTATTGAGCTAATAGGTTTACCTGGTATAATAATTCAACCGTTTTTTTATTTTAAAAGAAAATTTTGGTATGTGGTGAAGAAAATACCTATTTAAAAGCACAAATTAAATGATACTATTTTTTGTAATGTCCATAGGTACTCTTTATTTAACTCCTTGAAAATCAGATATACATACCTACCTACTCCATTTCTTTTAAAAAAAGTTGGTAACCCTAGAAACACCATACATAATACTATGTAGGTAGTCACCTCGGTACCCACAGAAATAGCTAATATCGAACACAGATATTTTTATACTGTGACACATCATCATCATCAACAGCCTATAAATGCCCACTGCTGAGCAAAGCCTCTTCTCACACGGAGAAGGTTAGAGCATTAATCACCACGCTTGCTCAATGCGGGTTGGCGATTTCAAACTTATAATTAGAAATTATAAGTCCAGGTTTCCTCACGATGTTTTTCCTTCACCGTTTGTCAGTGGTGTCTAAATAATCTTAGAAAGTACATATAACTCGGAAAAAGTCACATTGGTACTTGCCTTTGGTAGGTTTCGAACCCGCACCCTCATGCATGAGAAGTGGGCGTCTTAAACCTCCGGGCCACCACGACATTTTTACTGTGACACAGCTGTTGTTATTTAGGCACGCAGTTATTTCTACCGATTGGTTAAATGTTACATGGAAAGGCCAATGACTTCGTATTCATATAATACTTATAGTTAACATGACTTTCCTGCCGTTTTATTTGTCTTTAAACACACAATAGGAAATTAGAAAATCGAATTTGCGACATCTTAGTCACCTAATCCTTATGTAGGATAAGCTTCTAACTCAAACAACGGTTTGTGTTATTGCGAATGTTAATTTTTTTGGAAACATTGGTACCTACCTACTTATTCATAAGTACTCGTAGTAATAGGTACCTTAACTTACATTGTTTGTAGATATATGTAAAGAACCCGTATATCAACGTTTAATACAAGTAGGTGTAAGATCACTTATGTTACACTTACACATTACTTTATATGAACTTGTAAATGTTGTAAATGACTGCCTCGTTGGCAGTGATGGGCGTAACTAGTTATTTATGTAATCTAATTAATAATTGAATTACATAATAATTTGATTAAAATGTAATTTAATTACATATTATTCAATTACATTGTAATTAAGTTACTTTGGATGTGCTATGAAATTAATTATAATGTATTTAATTACAAGATAATTTGATTACAAAGTAACCTAATTACATAGTATTTAATTATATTATAATTCCTTTGAATATAAAATGTCGCATGCATGCACTGTGTGATGCAACACAGTTGCGATATAGGTGTACTGCAAGTGCGGCCCGTTCGACGTCATAGGGAGGTAGTATAATGTGCGGGGGAGCGGGGAGTTCTATGCATTGTGCTCGTGCGTCGTCGCTCCTAGCCACCCCGCTTCACCCGCCCACTTCAGTTACTTCTAATCTTTTGTATTATAAGCACGTTTATAATTAAAAAAGTTAATAATTTAAATTATAAATCAGAAAACATTTTTTTTTATCAGCCATTGGTGAAAATTATTAATAATAAAAGATTTAAAACTAAACAATGATTGACAGGTGATTACAATTTTTTGTATAATTATGTGTTTTATTTTCGTATTTGTCAAAACTTTCCCCAATACTTATATGTATAAATGTGTAGGTTTTATTCATTCATTCATTCATTTTATCAGATTACTTATGTAATCTATTATAATGTAATTAGATTAACTTGCAATTCAATTACTTTGTATTTAATTACATTATGTACTCATTGCATTAGTTACTTAAATAATCTGTTACAAAGTATTTCAATTACAAATTACAATGTAACTGTAATTTGTAATTCAATAATAGCCTAAAAAATACATAATTATTAATTTTTAATCGCCAAAGAGACAACTAAGAAGTGCCTAGGCAGGCACCTGTCTACGTTCAAATCTATTACACAAACCAACCCGATTCACATATTTTGCTACAGTTATGATTCAGGTGTAGTTAATAGGTAATATAGTATACAAAATAACCTTATTCTGATAGGAAATTCTAAGCTTCGTGCTACAGGTAGAATGCAGAAAGAAAGACACCTAAATAACTATTTAGCCAGGTCAGTACTTATTCTTAAACACTAGACTTCTTTATCAGCTGCGCTCAAGACAGGCCAGAGAAGATACATTTTATGTTTAAAATAGTGTTAGAATGAAACCTATTCCAAAAGGAAGAAAATGTGCCCAAAAACATGGAAAAGTAAATTAGGTACGGGTGATCTGAGGTCGGGAAAAAGATGGGTGGACGTTAGAAGAAAAAAAAATCTGTTTATCAGAAATTTCAGAACTTTTATAGGGTCCATAGCACATGACGTTTTACGAATGCGGGTCTTCAGCGCCGTAAACGCTGATCTTTTTCTTTTGCATTCATGATACAAGCGTATACGCACGTTCGAAGCGCGTATACTCACGTTTAATGCGCCTATACACGCGCCACGGCAACGTTGTCGATAGTCTGATAAGTTGATAACCTGATAGTCTTGAGCTTACTTATATTCCTCAATTTCTTAAATTGTCCCATAGCGTACTAAAACTTGTTCGTATTCATGGGTATTTTGACCCCATTATATTAAGCCACGCCTTTTTGTGACAGGTTTAAATTGTAGGAATGTGCTTTGGTTGTTTTGTTTTGATTTGGAGTTGGGAAGTGTATAACGTGAGTGACCCATTCGATAGAAATAATATTACAATAGAAGTTGCTAAACGCTACATTATTTACTTATTCATTATATTAGACGTAGATAGTAAGACATGCTTAAGTAGGCATTAAGAAGGTCCCAAACGTTCAATTCAATCATCAATCAATGTTCATAAGTGGGTAAGTGCATAGTAGATTATTAGTACTTAAGTACGATAATAGAACAACAGCTCTAAACTAACTTTAGTTTGTCTCATTACTCTCATTATTAGGTAATATCTACTTCATTTATTAATTACTTTACCATTTCAGATGGGAAATCCAAAAATAATGGAGTGGACACGCAATCATAAGCTGCTAATATTTTTCATGATAGTAGCTCTGTGCTTTTTTGTATCGACCGTAGCACTAGCGACTATGGATAAAAATAAACCACTTCTTGAACACAAACCTGCTGATAGCACAAGTAAGCACAATGGACAAAACGAAAGTAACGAAAATAAAGATGTAAGACAATCTTAACAATACTAAATTTATGCAATTTTATCTTACTAATATTATAAATGATTTTGTTAAAGTTTGTGTGTTACTCAATCACATCAAAACGATCGCATCAGGATGTGAAACAGGGATAGATGACAGGGATAGACAGGGACTGGAAAACACACAGGGTGGGTACTTTTTATTCCACGCAAAAATGGGCGATGCCGCGGGTAGGAGCTAGTACCTACGTAATAATCGATAAACTGCCAGGTAACTAGGTACTGAATTAAATAGGTTCTTACCTACCTACAAAGAAATGTAATCTCAATCATCCATTTTTCGCGAGATTAAAATAAACTGTGGTGCGTGTTGTTCAAATATAAAAATAATATTTTTTTAGAGCTCATTAGAGCTTGGATGCTGCGCAAACGTACCGCGGGTTCAATGTATGTGTTCCATGTTAATAATTCTTTTGTTGCCAGGACCTTAGATACTACAGACTCCCAAGAAGTGTTGTACCAGAGAACTACAAACTTTTGCTGAAACCTAACGTAACGAATAACTCATTCGCTGGATCTGTGCTAATTACATTATCAGTGAAGCAAAAAGTTAGAACAATCAAACTACATGCACACAATTTGACCATTCATGGAGTTAGCTTATCTAACAATGTCAGTAAAGGCGTTATTCCAATACGCTCTACAAATATGTCTTTAGATGCAAGGGAGCTGTTGTTTATACATTTAGAAAATGAATTAGACATTACGCAATACAAGCTGTTTATTATATTCTCTGGTAGATTGGATAATAAAATAGTTGGATTTTATAAAAGTCATTTAAAAGGTGGTGGGTAAGTTACCTATATTTTTTGCAAAACACCTTAACATACACCTCTTACTTATTCCCTATTAAAACTGCAATCTGCAATCAACTTTCTAGGTAGGTTTAGAAGGCTACTTGCTAATCATTTACGTACATTACTTAATGTTTTAATAAACTGTCGGTTTTCTTATAAGTCTTAGGATACAACAATCAATTTATAACTAATTATGTAGTAGGTACAATATTCTTAAAATGACGAAATTGCTTTTTGAGTTAATTTCATGTGATTTCATGGTACAAAATGTAGACCGAATGAATGTTATCTTTGTCACCTGTCGCTACCTCTTGTTGACAGTTAACGCTTTGTTTGACAGTTGGAGTTGAAATGTTGCAGATGAAATGACATTTCAAATTTTTGAGCGTTGTTTGCGGCTGCGTAAAATCAGCTGTGTGTTGATTTTGGTTTAAATCAAAATAAATACAATTATTCTCCCACGTTTAAGTTCTTATTTATATTATTTTAATGACATTATGTTGCCGCGGTTTACTGATCAAACAGTGGTTGGTTAATGGTCGCCGCAGTCGATTGTGTGATTCTTTAAGTACTAAAACCCATCGAAACCGGGTTCAATTTTATTGTGAAAGTAAAAATATTATGGCAGATATGCGTATCAACGTGAAATTGTCTGAACGGCTGTCCCCGCTAGTGCGACCTGTGAACTATAAGCTTGAATTACGCCCTAACCTAGACAAGGGGGAATTTCAAGGATGTGTTGACATAGAAGTTATAATCAAACAAGAAAGAAATTATATAAACCTTCATTCAAACTTCTTGAATATAAAGGAAGTGAAGGTATACAAAGGCAGCGATGAGGTTCCCGTCGCCAAATTTTTGGAAACAAAGCAAATGGAACAGTTGTTCATACATTTTGAGTCAGCTCAAAGTGCAGGGAACTACAAAATCTCTATACACTTTGATGGTGACCTAACACGAAACATTGTTGGGTTTTATTCTTCACGCTTACATGATTCTAGGTATATTTGTTTCACCCTTTATTATTATTGTCTTAACTCTGAATAAGTTGTTTGAATAAGATTGCAGATGAAAGTTACATTATAGATACTGAGTATCATTAAAAAAGGTACTCAGTTTTAGAATTTATATGTGTGTACTACTTAAAAAATCTCTTATATAGGTTTATACTTTAGATAGAAGTGCTTTAAGTAATCCTATTTATATCTATGTATCAATGTGAATGTTTCAGGACAATGGTTGCGAGTAAATTCCAACCAACTTATGCTAGACAAGCATTCCCTTGCTTTGATGAGCCAGATTTCAAGGCTACTTATGATATCACCTTGTGGAAACCACCGACTTACACTGCTCTTTCCAACATGAATGTAAGTATCTTTCAATAAAATGAAGTCAGATTCCAATAAGTTGAAATAGAATTACCTGATTAAAAAACTGTTATTGGTGATAATCATGGCTTATTTCACTACTTCTAGTTGTGTTTCTATTAGGTAATCTGGTAGCTAATTTAATGTATTTTACATGTAAAATGAGTTAGCAGAGGGCATTACATTAATATTTGTATTGTATTATTGTCTATTTTATTACGGGCTAAGATGCGTGAGACAAATAAATAAATACATAAATAAAACGTAAGTCCAGGTTTCCTCACAATGCTTTCCTTGATCATTTAATTTTGTCAGTGGTTGATAAATAATATTAGAAAGTAGGTACATATAACTCGGAAAACTTCATATTGGTACTTGCCAGGTTTCGAATACACAATTATTTAAATTCGTCATTATTTAAATCTCAGGTAACCAATTTCAGTTTGTCAAGCTTACATACTCTCACATTTTTCCAGGAAATCTCAACAACATATAATGAACTTGTTCAAATGGATAAAGTCACATTTGCAACCAGTGTGCCCATGTCCACATACTTGGTTTGTTTTGTTGTCTGTGATTTTGATTACAAAGAGACTGAAATTAGCTCAGGCGGAATTGGAAAGAACTTCAAGCTCCGATCATATGCTCAGAAGCAGAATCTGCACAAAATCGATTTTGCTCAGGACATTGGAAAGAGAGCCACTGAATTTTACATCAAATACTATGAAGTGCCATTCCCTCTACCTAAATTAGGTTAGATATTTTAAAACTTTTAACTTCTTGTTAACTTCTTGACTGCTACTATGTCAAACACAGAAGGAGAATATATAATTATAGTGTTATAATTCTAATGTACATATATAATATTGTATGTAAATTTAATATCAAAATATAAAATTAATATCTATATCTTTCAATCATTGTTTTCTATGTCCAGAAATGTTATGTTCTACTATATCTATTTTGGAGTATACTAAACATATGTATATCGACTATAGAGTATACGATAATTTCTTTTATGTATTTTTTAAGCATTGAACAATGCAATATTTATTTAGTAATACTAATTCCCAAATTTCAGATATGATAGCCATCCCCGATTATGTGTCTGGAGCAACGGAGCACTGGGGCCTAATCACATATAGACAGACATCATTCCTCGTGGACCAGGCTACATCTTCATCTGCTAATAAAATAAATGTTGCCAACACAATTGCTCATGAACTCGCACACATGTGGTTTGGAAACTTAGGTATGTGTGTCACAGACTTGTAATTAAGTATGGGTTTTATTTCACATTTTCCTTTGTTTTCAGTTGTCATTTAATATTGTTTCTTATTTAAAGAGTGTTAAGGTGTTTTTGTGTTTGTATGCAAACACAATTGGAATATTGTTACCATAATGACCATCATAAGTTGCTATAAAAAAACATTAACGTAATAAGATACGGTAGTTTGTGATGTTGATATTGTTTTACTAAATGTTTGATGACTAGTTTCGATTACCATTATGAAACTCTTGAATATCACTAAAAGTCTAACTACATTTTCAGTAACAATGAAATGGTGGGATGAGGTCTGGTTGAATGAAGGTTTCGCTTCATACATGCAAGCTAAAGCCTTAGATGCTATTGAGCCAAGCTGGAAAGTTGTAAGTGACAATCGTCATTATATTTATTACATTTACTAGAAATTCATGAAATTTGTGATATTACCAATCTTCAAACCATTGGAATCAAGGAAAATATCACCTGATGGTAAGCAATCATAGACATGTACGAACGACACCTGACCAGAGGTTGCAGTTCTGTATAGAGTCCACGGGTGCTTACAATGGAGACTCCTATCTACAAGTGGAACGCACCAACTATAATGAGGTTTCGGGCGGAATTTTTTTTATGGACTAATAAGGCAAACGAACAGACGGATCACCCGATGGTAAGCGATCAGCGCGGCCCATGGACACCATGCAACACCAGAGGAGTCACAGGTGTGTTGCCGGCCTTTTAAAAAGAAGTACGCTATTGTGCTCATGTGCCGCAGACTGTCCTCGTCGACCTCGAGCCCGGCACCATGGACTCTGTGCGCTCCATCTATACGTGCTGGCCTTTTGGAAGGTAGTGGATTAGTCTTCTTGTAATTTGATTAGGTGAAATACAAAGCAAGCGTTGTTTCACGCCGGTTTTCTGTAAGGCCGTGGTATCACTGGACGAGCCGTCGCGGCCCATTCGTGCCGAAGTATGGCTCTCCACGTAAAAATTATTTTGGTTTTGTTTCAGTTGGATAACTTCCTAACTAAAGTGTTGCATCCAGTGCTAGGGATTGACGCAAAATTGTCCAGCCACCCGATAGTACAAACTGTGGCCACACCTGATCAAATTACATCCATTTTTGACACTATTTCTTATAATAAGGTGAGTGGTTTTATTTAAAAGCTATTATTTAGTTTACTTTAACAACTTGTACTTTTGATGGCAGGTACTTACGTCCCGAATAAAGTATCCAACCGTAGTTGCGACAAATTTGACCCAGACTTCAATTGACATGTTAGACGAAGCAGTTATTTTTTTTTTTTATTATATATATATTTTACCAGAATATTAAAATTCACTTTGTAGCTACTTTTAAATTCCGATCGAACTTTTAGTAATGCAACTCAGTTTATATGTTTATTGATTTTTTATTTTGCATGTTCAGGGAGCGTCAATCTTAAGAATGTTGGAGGGTTTCATTGGGCAAGAAAACTTCCGTCACGGAGTCTCAGATTATTTGAAGAAATACGAGTTTGGTAACACTGTAACTCAAGAACTGCTATCTTCACTAGAACCTTACTTCAAAAGAGATTTCCCCGATTTGAATCTTACGTAAGTAAAATTTATCAATAAAATAAATAAAATACCAGTATTTACTTAGTGTTTTTGTTGCTAACTGTGCATTGATACGTCAGTTTCATGTTCGAGCGAGTTCGACAACAAAATTAGATAAATATGAAAGTGTCAACTCGCGTACTTGCACGAGTTTCTTACCCGAATGTTGGCGAATAAGTCTTCTGAAGATGGTAGTATTGTAACATAACATCACGCCTCTTATCCCCAAAGGGGTCAACAGAGGTGCACATTACTTACGGCACTTAATGCCACTGTACAATGTAACACCCACTTTTCACTATTTATGTTATGAGTCCCATGTAATATTAGGGGGTGAGCCTTACACTGGGCGCGATTCCAGGCTCCTTGCTACTACTAAGATTTTTTTTAAAAGTTCAATAAAATTTGCCCGACTCGGGAATCGAACCCGAGACCCCTTGCCTGGCAGTCGCACTTACGACCACTCGGCCAACGAGGTAGTCATAGTATTCTAATTTGTGCTTATATTCTATTCCAGATACATAATGGACACATGGACCCTTCAAATGGGTTACCCAGTGTTGCAAGTAAAACGTGGTCACGAGGCCGATACCTTTGCTGTATCGCAGTCACGATTCCTAATCGATCCTGATGCAGTTTACCCCAACGATTCAAAGTTCAAGTAAGTCATATTTAATGAACGAATAATCGAATTAATCTCGATCACTGAACGAAAACTAACTTATAACATTTACGAAGATATTAATTCTAAATCATTGTACAGCTACAAATGGTTCGTGCCTATTACATACAAGACTGATACTGCAACAAAGAATGAAATTACATGGCTGGCTGACACGGCACAAGACGGTAAGAAAATCATTCACTCATTACGACTTGCGTAACTTTTCGGGGGTGCTCGACTATTTTCAAACTATGACAAGGGCTTACAATCTAGTGATGCTTACTTATATATTATTAATAATATATACTTATTGATATAAAATATGCTTACATAGAATTTGTATATGGCAATGCGATGTGTCAGTCACTTGTGAGGCTCACACACCGCACAACATGGCTTGCACCCGATATTTATAGGTAAAATTAGTGGCAAAACACCACCATATGGCATATAGTATGTTTACTTTCCTTAGTTTTGATGTAAAACTGATATGGAGCATTTAATGTTTATTTATGTTTCAGTAAAATTGAAAATAAATCCCAATGACAAATGGCTGAAGGTTAACATCAACCAAGTAGGTTACTATAGAGTGAATTATGAAGAAACCAATTGGCAAGCTCTCATTGAAGCGTTGAAATCTAAGTCTAAGCAGGTAAGAGCCCGTAGCACTGGTTATCTGTTATAGTAGACCGCATCATCGCTTACTACCAGGCGAGATAGTGGTCAAACGTCGCCCCGTCGGGATCAGGTACTAATATCACCCACATCCCACATGTTAAATATATACCCCCGAAGGGGTAGGCAGCGGTGCACATTACGGCACTTAATGCCACTGTACAATGTAACACACACTTTATTATGTTTGGAGTCCCATTTAATTAGGGGTTGAGTTTATAGCCATATACCGGACACAATTCCAGTCTCCGTGCTTCTACTGAGATTTTTTTTAAATACCCAGACCCCGAATCGAACCCGATACCCCTGGCCTGCGATGCGATGCGACTGCCGAGTCGCACTTGCGTGTAAACACAGTAATTTATTATTTGTAACCCTAATGAAAAGGGTTATTTAAATTAAACTGTCAAACACTAAGCGGTCACCGGTGACCGCGACCTATTGTTCTTTAATTGTGTCTATAAAACCGGTACTCGACGAGTTAAAGTTCTTCTTACTTTGAGAGACTATTGCCGGAATACTGAAACGTTACTCAATTTTAAGTCGTGCTTAAATATCGTGCCATCTCTGTCATTTTACAACGAATTTGTGGAGACAGAACTATACTTGAGCACGACTTAAAATTGAGTAGCGTTTGAGTATTTCGACAACTATTCTATAGTTTAAGCAATTGTTTATATTTCAGCTCAGCGGCGCCGACAGATCACATCTGCTGGACGATGTTTTTGCTCTAGCTGAAGCGCGAGCTGTGTCTTACAACATAGCTTTGGACCTTACCACTTATTTGCTAGTTGAAGAGGAGCTGACTCCTTGGCAAACAGCTCAACATGTCTTTGCTGATCTAGAAGGTCACCTGCAGTACTCTTTGGTTCATGATCATCTGATGGTAAGTTTGAAATTCATATTAAAACGCCATTAAGTGTGTTTTTCAGCGCAAAACTGATTTAAAGATGACTTAATGATGGACATCAGAAACAATCGCACGAAGCGTTTCGCTTCAAGTTTAGCTGTGCGAAACGCTGAGGATTCTAAATATTGTTGGTATTATAAGTATTTAAGATTGTAGGTTGTTTGTGGACAGGCTTGTTTCATCGTTGGCCGCGGCATCGCTTACCGCCAGGCGAGACAGTGGCCAAACGTTTACCTACATAATTACAAAAAGTATACTTAGATGATTAAACTACCATTTTATTGTTCACAGAAATACGTTCAGCGCATAATTCGTCCGATTTATGCGAAACAGAATTGGGACGCAGTAAACTTACCCGTTATTGACAGGTGGGTAATAATATTGTAAAATATGTATATCTATTTAATAACTAGCTTCTGCCCGCGACTTCGTACGCGTACCATCCCATTTTTTCCCGTCCCCGTTCGTGATTTTCGGAAAAAAGTAAAAATTTTGGTTAAAAAGTATCCTGACATAGGTGTCAGTCTCCTGGCTCTACGCTACCTCCCTACCAATTTTCAGCCAAATCTATTCTGCCGTTCTTGAGTTATAAGTGGTGTAACTAACACGACTTTCTTTTATATATATTATAAGAATTATAAGATTACTTCATTCAATATACCACCACCAAGAAAATTTTGCCAATTTCTATAAAATCCTAATAGCTAAATCGTAATGGTACAATTATTAGCTTGGTATTGGTTTTTCTTCAAGACTTTCGTTAATTTTTTTTCCAGTTTGCTGCGAACAAGGATATTGTCACTGGCCGTCCACTATCAGGTGCCCGAGGCAGTAGAGAAAGCAAAGAATATGTTCTACCGATGGCTGAACACTCACGGCACGCCAGAGGAGGCGCCCATACACCAAGACTTGCGTGAAATGATTTATTATAACGGTAAAATACTTATAACATCATTCACTGTCACAAGGTTGCGTGCGAAATCGTATGAAGAGCATATACAAGCGTCATCAGCACGAATAAAAACACGCTGTATGCTTATGGGCCTAAGGCCTAAATTAATGGTGATCCAACATAGAGTAGTTCATTACCATTTATTTCTCTTTGACTGACATAAGTTTTAAATGATACTTTTAAAATATTTACGTATTATTTATCGGTCCTTTAGTGAAGGTTGTTGCTCTATTCGTAGGTATGAAGTCCGCGTCTATGGCTGACTGGGACAAACTATGGGCAATCTACAAGAAAGAGGAAGATGTCCAAGAATTGTTGAAAATTCGCAAGGCTTTATCAGCACCACGTGACACTGCTATACTCCGCAAGTAAGTTATATAAGGATAATTTAATTAGACATATACCAATACATGTATGAAAATGACCAATCCAAATCGATTTGGTCATTTAAACATAATGTCTAAGTCTAAGCCTAATAGATGTGTCTCTTAAACTTTTGGATATACTACATTGCAACCGCAAGAAGTTACGAATAAAGCCATCATTTATCCCGGCTCCGGTTCGGAGCAGCAGTTTGAACAGGGCGTTTTTAATCAGAGTCTGACACTCTCACACCTCATCCAGAAGGGGATGAGTCATAATATTAATTATAATGAACCCCTAAAAGGCCACTATCAAAACTGGAATTATGGAATGTATTTTTATTTCATCATTCAGGTTCTTACTGATGGCGTGGGACGAGGCTAACATTCGAAGCCAGGACTACTTGACCGTAGTAGTGAACATAAGTACGAACCCGAGTGGCACGGCGCTGGTGTGGGACGACGTGCGCGCCAACTGGCCGCGCCTCGTGCAACGGTTCACTCTCAACAGCCGGTACCTTGGGGGCATCATTCCTGCCATCACTTCGTCTTTCAATACTGATCTTAAGCTTAAAGAGGTGAGTTATTATTGTTGTTGGAGTTTTTTAATGTCTATTAAGTAATAATAGAGACTAAAAACATACCAAATAGTATAAACATTGGTGAACTAACTATAAATGACGGTTACTCACGTAAATATACTGAGAAAAGCTCTACTAATTTCGAGTCATAGAGGGGACTCTTTCTCATGAGCAACTTGTGCGGTCGCGGCGATGTCTACTGATATTGTTATTTATAGTTAATTCAGTATTTCTCACGATAGTTATTATAAAATATTGTTGCATTCAGAAATGTGTGCTATATTACCAGCACAGTTATAATAGCACGTTATACGCCGATCTTTTGTTTCCTCAAGGCAGACTATACTAGATGTCACGTAAACTTTTTGCCAGTCAAATATTACCTACGAGTCTCGCGCAATTAGGCCGATAATAATCAATGAAAAGTTTTTTTTGCGCACCTTCCGAGGAATATAGGCTCGCCTTTACTCAGTTTTTACACTAAAAGTAATTACGTGTTCACCTCACATGTAAATCGATTTGACAGATGGAATCGTTCTTCGGCCTTTACCCCGAAGCGGGTGCAGGAGAAACCGGACGGCGACAGGCGTTAGAAAGTGTTAAGAACAACATTCGTTGGAGTACGTACCACTTGAAACAAGTCACAGCGTGGATCGACGCTCACTATCAATCCTGATTCGAATATTAAGGGCCATGTTATTGAATTGTAGGTAAGTAAGACATTGCATAGTTGGGTAAAAGATAATAAATGTGAAAATGAACTTTATATGAATCTATTTATTAGTTTTTTTAAAGAGCCATATTAAAATAGCCGTTATTGCAACTGTATCATGGTTGATTTCACCATAGTAACATGAAGATGTTTTAAATTAAAGCAGCTGGTTTCCCAGTCAGTTGATTGCCATTGTCTACCGGTATGGTAGTATAGTTTAATCCCTGGCTTCATTATGTTCCTTTTAAATTAGTACTATTCCTATTTGTGTACACATGGCCTGTACTTTATTGTTTAATAAGTTTAAGAACTTAAATAAATGAATCACGTCATTAAGGCTATTAAGTCTTTTTTGTTCGCTTTATTTGTTAGGATACCAAGTCGTGAATGTCATGTCGCTAAGCGCGACGCGATATAAATAAGGCTATAATGTTTGTACTCACCAGAGCACGCTAATATAACTTGATGTTCTGTTTATATTTTCACTGTAGCTGGCCAAAATGAAATGTCTATTGGACATAAGGCCTTAGTTCCCATTCGTTAGAATCTTTCTAATGTAGGTATCGAATCGCTGTGCAGCGGGGGGCTAAATTCGCTCTTAATTTTTTTTATTATACCTGAAGCTTGTCTGTTTTGCAAAATTATATCAATTAAGCGTTAACTGATAAAAAGATATAATCAAACCTTCTATTTGCAAGTATGAATTTTAGTACCCAATTTTATTTGATAAAAACCGAAAAGTTATTGCCTGGTTCAGTAATATAAGAACATTTACTTACGTGGAAAGAAAAGTAATTGAACAAAGGGAAATGAACGACTTTTACTGTTTACGTTTATTACGATCGAAACAATCAGAGTACCAAGCACGAATAACTATCGCATTCGGCGCTCTGATTGGCCGGCTCAAGTGAACCAACCAATCAGAACGCTTAACTCGCTCGATACTGTTACGATACGAATGCGATAGTTATTAGTGCTTGGCACTCTGAGCGCCAAACGCGGTCTCGGATCGATTTCGTTAAATGTAAAACGAAACGAAGCCCTCTAATCGGTGCAATTATGATACTTACACTGAGTAAGTGTGCGGTGTCGCAGCTATACACACGAAAATTCTCAATTAAAAGAGCTCTAAGACAGTGATACAAAGAATTTATTACTATGGTAATGTATATGACATGAAATTAGGTGTAAATCCTAAATACTATAAAAAAATTATGAAGCTGTTTACATATTATTTCTAAATTTTATAAAATTGTTGGAACTATGTAAAGGTAATGCAAAAAAATATAATGTAGATTATAATCACTGATATATGAAAGTCGTTGCATATTAATAGCCGTATTGTTTTTATTTGCATTTATTGATTACAATGACAATGATCAAAAACTCAGAATCGATTAAATTAATTTATATTATGTGGCAAAGTACAGTAGGTATACATAATACCTATACCTATCACAAATTCAATAATTGTTTTCGATGAAACCATCACTAAGCAATAAAAATGGATCCACTTTATCATGGCCTCGTTTTATATGATCTTTCCGCAGATTTAAAAGTCAGTTTATACAGGTATTTTTGAACAAAATCACATCGTGGTATTATAATCTTCGGAAGCCTTATAGGTTTGGTTCCCTTATCTGTATTTTTCATCACTTTCATTAATCTTTTATTCTAACAAACAATAAGAACTAAAAAACAAAAAAAAAAAATACTTATTCGTCCATACAAAATTGTACCTAATATACTGCAGGCTCCTGGCCCGTTTGGTTATGGTTTGGTCCAAAATGGATAACGTATTTGTGACCTTGCACTTATGGTCTATTACACTGGCTATGAATGATTTTAATCGACTCTAGTTTTTAGGTATTCTCCTTTATAATTAAGTTTAAACTCGTAACATTGTTTTTTGGATTTTGATTCATGTGTACTTAAGTACCTTCCCTACAGTGTATAACAAATCGCAGTTTAACCTTTAATACTATTGACTTAAAGTAAGTATTTAAACAATTAAGACTGCAACATATTGTTTGGGAATGCCTTATATGAGAAGGTAGATACTAATCATGCTCAAAATGAATCCTTTTGTAAAACAAATTGTGAAAATTTGTTTGTAACTAACTCAATGAAATAAAACTATTGTGTGTTTATTTGGTGATTTTATTATTTAAGTATATAATTTGTATGTAGTGCTAATAAATAAAACGTATTCCTTAGTGCAAAACTCGAAACATCTGAGGGCTTAGTACGAGTTTGTTTTACGTTTTAAGCAATCGAAACGAGACCGCGTTCGGCGCTGTGATTGGCCGGCTCAAAAAAACCAACCAATCAGAGCGCCGAACGCGGTCTCGATTCGATTACTTTAAAACAAACTCGCACTAAGACCTCTAAACCGATTTCGATAAAGGTTATGAAAGTAATAAAATAGATCAAGCAAGAATAGCCGGAAGATTGCACCTAAGCGAAGTCGGGGCGGTCCACTAGTTTCTAATAAATAAGTACTTTTAATAAGTTACAATCAATTGTCACCATAAATAACAAATGACGTGCGAATGACGACAATTGGAAAAGTAATCTTTATCGATATTGCAGTGATTTGACCTTCTTAACTATAATATTATGTGATTAATAAGCAAAATATTAATGTAATGACGTCGTAAAACTAACTTCTTGCTTTGTTTCGAATCATAGACATTGGTCATTTCTAAATATGGTATAGGTGAAATACTAAATATGTTATTTTTAGCAACAACAATAATTTTAAGGTTAAGGTAAGTACCTACTGTTACATATGCTCATTTCAAACACGAAAGCATGCTTCAAGTTTACACTTGTCGGAATATTGCTCAGAGTTAACGTGCTCATTTTTAGCATATTTCCAAATCGATAGGCGTTCGATTTTTGAACATTTTTAAGCATGCTCGATAGCATGTCTTTTTGGCTAAGGACTCACGGCGCGAACTTCTCACGCGCCCTCCGCGGTTGCGGGCCCGCAGCCTTTGTAGAATACGATATGTATGTACAAAATCAAAGTACATTTCACGGCGCGTTTAATCCAACGGCGGGTTGCAGCCGCGCGCTCTGCGATCACTTGGCAGGTGATCGCAATGGGAGGGCTGGTACTCAACTGATTGTTTAACCGCCCACTGCCCGTCTTGCGATAACCAACCGCCAAGTTTGCGGGCGACAATCGCAACCGCGGCGGTTTTGAAAATTCCGCCTCTATGCCGACACCGCGGCAGATGCGGGGCAATTCAGACCGTGAGTTCTTAGCTTCAGTTTGTTTTCAGAGCATGTGCAACAGTACCGTTAGGTGTAATTTGTTCTACTAAGACTCGTTCTTATTCTTTCTTTCCCAATACAGCGTAATAACTATAGGCGGCTCGGACAACCTGCAATGATATTACAAATATAAAAAATTACGATCATGATGTAAATACAATTAAAAAAGTTCATAGTGTAAACACTAAAAATATAGGTATTAAATAAGTTAATTTGTCCTCACTTGTATAAAAGACGGCAAGTCTAAGAAATGGAAAGGCCCAGCGCGAAGACGCCGTGGCTTCATCATACCGGAGCCGAGGATCACCAGCTCTCGTCTGATCTTAGGACTTAAACACCATGATGCAGCTGCGAATGGTCCTTGCCCCATACCCACTGAACTCTGGTTTAATAGCAAAATAAGATTAGGTATGTTTAAATTTAAGTCAACACCGTCCTGTGGCTATTTCTAGAATAGCCACAGGACGGTGTTGACTTAAATACATATTACTTACATATACAGTAAATAAGTAGAAACGGGCTGATGGCATCATCGTCATTAGATAATGAAATCAATCTACTACAAGTGATTCAATCTCTACTATGAGTGACTGACTTACAACCAACAGCCGAATTACAAAACTACCTACTAGTCATAGCAAACTAGGTTTGGCTAAGTTCCACAATGAATGTCGGGGCGTAAACACTAAGAAACTTCCCGAAAATGTTATGGTAATAATACTTTATGGCCATACGATTTTTCAGAGCAAGGTAGAAGTCATATTATTTATAAATATAATACGAAAGTAAATTAACTTCTCATAATTTGTGCAACGGTATCTGCAAAAACAACTTAATCTTTAACCTTACCGGATTGTATTGGAAGAGCTGATCAAATCTGGTTCAGACTAGACATTGCTCCAAAAGTATAAGTAAATAAACTGATAACTTAATTTAATGATACTCCAATGGCATTGACAAACGTTTACCTCGTGCAATACTGCGTCCCCGTATGTGCAAAATAGAAACAGTTGTGTCAATGTAGCACACATGTATTGGATTAGGGACACCAATTGCATTATGCTCATTTTCTCCTGAAAATTGACGAGAATTTTAACTCTTAAAATGAAAACAATGTGAATATATATTATATGGATCTTGAAGTGAATGGTATACTTACAGACTTCAGTCGAACAGCAACCGAACATAACGTTAATGTGGCGAAGAAAAAATACACCCCTATTATATTCTTCAACAAAATGTCAAGTTCGTTGATTGTGCTAGAACATTATATAAAATAAATATTTAAAAATACATTTACATTTCAGACATAGGTACGTAATTTACAAATCGGCTTACTTTATCAATAAAATGTGAGTCTGATGACAATGTACGATTCTATAATGGGCCCGCAAATCTCTTCTTTTTGAGAGGTTGCAATGATTCCCTTTACCGCCGATGTGTGAACTATAATCACGGAGCAAGGAATACTGGCCACATACGAATATCATGATACCGACAGCTGTTAAATCAAATGCGATGTGCACACAGACGCAGTAGACCGCAGCGAGAAATTCGCCCACAACGTTTACGATGTAGCCGAAAAAACTCAAATTGTCAAGGGGAGCCCAACCAGGCAGAATATGGGGATACCCCAAACATTCCATCCCTCGCATCTTGCAAATAAAGTATTCGACAAAGGG